TTGTTTAAGAGACAATTTTTGTTATTTTTCAAAATTTTCATATTTGACCTACATTTTTGGGTACTTGAAGGCAATCCGATTCCAGTTATATAACTTTCATTCAGAGTTATCACCCTTTTTTTCGAATTTTTTCGAATTTTCTGCCCATTTTGTGAGCCCGAGTTTCGTTTTACGGCAGAATCGACGTTTCTGAAACTCCTGGACCATGAAGTTATAGTCCAAATCCAACTGATAAAGCTATATCGACAAGGATCCTTAAACCGGAAGTGGTCGAACAATTGTCCGATATTTTGAAAAAAAAACGCAAAAAATGGGTGCTTTTGGGAAAAACGTGATTTCTCCACCCGATATCAACGGATTAGAGAAATTAAGGTATCGGTGGGTAGCCCGGGGATTTGACTATCATATGATTACAATTTCACAGCAAAATATGACATGCTCAAAATCAAGTATTTTCTGATTTGGAGTGTTTTTTGGACGCCTATATCTCGAAAACTACTCGAAGGATTTTTCTTAAACTTTCCCTATCGAGAGTCCCCCGGTAGTCGTGTGCATGAATCCATCCAATAAGACTTTGAAGTGTCTGGAATAGGTAAAATAATGGACTAAAAATCGAAAAAAGTTGAAAAATCGTCAAATTTTAGAAAATGCTCTATTATTTCTTTATTTTAACAAATTTTCAAAAAAAAGTTATACATTCAGATAGCTGTCCTAATTATGATTCTAACCATGTATAATATGTATTGAGTTATTGAAATTTAATTTTTGATATTTTGACATTTTTGCATTTTTAACACTTTTGAACATAGGATTTCCCAGGGGCATTTTATCTGATCAGACAATGTAATATTTCATTACATAGCCCTGTGGCTATTTGATTAGCCAATCCGGTTATTAAAACTATCCCGACAATAATCTCCATACCGGAAGTATTCAAAAAATGAAGAAAAAGGGTTAAAAAATATAGCGCTCTTGCGAAAAAATTGATTTCTCCATCAGATAGTAGCGGATCAAAAGAACTAAAGTATCGCTGGATAGCCCCATTAATGGACTATCATATGACGTCTGAATGATACGATTTAGATGGCTAAAAAATAAATTATCGTACGCCTAAAATCTAGTATTTTCCGTTTTGGAGCATTTTGAGACGCCATTTTCTCGAAAACGAAAACTACGATTTTTCTTTTACTCAGAGTCCTATCGGTGGACTACAGCGTGAGGAGTCCAAAAATAAAAGCATTGAAATAATATAAGTGGTCGAAAAAGAGCCTCAATCTTGGAAAAAAGTTGAAAAATCCTTAAATTACTGAAAATGATATTCTATTTTTCTTTGTTGGGAAAACAGCTGAATGGATTTTTCTGAAACTTCTTGTACAGAAGGTTAGGTAACCAAACAACTTGTTAAAACTATCCCGACAATGATCCAAAAACCGGAAATAGTCGAATAAATATCCGATATTTTGAAAAAAGTGATTACTACGTAAGATTTCATCGAATCAAAACAACTAAAGTGTCCTTGGATAGACCGAACAATGGACGATCGTATGACATCTAAATGGTAAAAATTCGCTGGTTAGGCAATATATATAATGGGACGCTGAAAATCTAGCATTTTCATTTTTGGGGGCTATTCAGATGCTTTCATCCCGTAAACCTCTCTTATTTCCTTTCTTAAACTTCTGTTACTTAGAGTCCTAACGTTGGTCTAGGGTGTGAATCCAAATTTAAAAACCTCAGAATAGTATAAATGGTCCAAAAAGGGCCACAATCTTTGAAAATCGTTATATCTTCTCATGGTATAAGGGAGATAACACATTGGTATCAGACTACCATTTATTTGCTAAATATCGTTAAATATCTTCTAATTTTCCTTTCTTTTAAAAACTGTCCAATAGATATTTCTGGAACTTCTGGTACATGCAGTTATATTCCCATACAACGCGTTTAATCTATCCCGACAATGATCCGTAACCGGAAGTAGTCGAAAAAATACTCGATATTTAAAAGAAAAACCAGTAAAAATAGGTGCTCTTGCAAAAGTCGTGATTTCACCGTCGGGTGTGACCGCATCAAAACATCTAAAGTATCGTTTGGTAGCACGATGAATGGGCTATTGTATGATACACTTCCTGTCTGATTCTTGAAAGCCGGTTCAGTGCTGCTTGCAGGTCTAGTTATTATTATTTTTTGTTCTTTTCCTGCAAATCTTATATCTCAGAATCTAACCATAGGATCTTTCTGAAACTTTGACTTATCCCCTAAAGACTCGGTGGTGGCTTTGGAATGAATATATTTTCAAAACGTTTTACTCATTCGAAATCACCGAATTTTACGAACGAATGCATTTGACCTACATTGCTGTAATTTTGTGTTGTGACTATTTGACCTATTTTACTAATTCTTTCTTTAAGTACATTGAAACATTTACTTTAAATCTGCAATTTCTGATTTTCGAATTTCGAAAATTCGTCGCTGTGATTTCGAACCGGAAGATGAAACCAACTTGACAGCTTCTTTAATAGTTGCACGATTTTCATGAAATTTAGTATGTGAGTAGATCTTACAGATGCGACCTGAAAGATGCCATTAAAAATTTTCTATATTATCTCCCCTTGATTAAATTAAGGATCAAAGTTTTAAAAAAAATCGACGAAATATAGGTCAGAGTGTTTTGAAATTTATTTTCTGTACTAGCTAAGAAAGTGGTGATGTGTACACAAAATATGTTTACAAAGTTGTTTACGAGTTAAAAATCGTATAAACTTCGCAAGCTTTTGACCGATTTTAAGGATTTTTTTTACCTTGTTCAGATTCTTAATATGATCCATGACATGTGACAGGAAGTGATTGTGAATATGAAAGCTTTAATATCTGCTTAGCAGATCTAGTTATTTTTTTGTTTTTAATGTTAAATATCCTTCCCAAACACAATTAGATTTTAATTCTCTCCAGAAATTTATGTATAGTATAGAAAGTAAAGTGACATATAAATCACTTAGAATTCGGTCGGAAATCATTAAGTATTTAATAGGCATTATATCTAGAACCAAATGTAGATCAAATATACTCTTCAAAAAATGTAGGGGATATTGAAATGCAAATACCTATGCAGGTTGTGATATGATAAATAGTCATGGACACTTGACATGCTTTGAGAGTATGTTCACAAATAAAGAACTTATCGCCCCAACAGAACCACTGAGCTGCACATGCGACGCGCAAGAGCGCCATACACGTGGGATGGGTTCATTGTCAGATTTGACACTTCAAGGAAGGGTTGATGAAAACTGCCGCGTGCTGGTTTATCTATCCATGTTTGCTTTCCTATCGGCTCTTGCATAAGATTTGTTGTTTAGCGTATCTTTGCTTTAGCGTGTTACGTTTAATTTGATCGGGAGACGTGTTCGTCGACGGCAAAATCAACAGACAACACTGCAAGAATTGGCCGTGGCACTGCAAGAGGAATTGGTCAGATTGCCCCAAATCGTGATTGGACGGTTGATTAGGAACATGCCACGACAAATTGCTGAATGACTGAGGATTGGTGGAGCAATTATTCATTATTAAGACAAAAATCAAAAACGTCCATTTTCACTTTTGACGGTGTATCTCTTTGGGAGTGAAATGGGGCTGTCAGATAAGCAATTGGCAATTGGCCTGTTATTAACATACACTGGTTAACTCTAATAAAAACAGCAGTGCATTTCCGCAGTTTTGTATTGTTTCTGAATATCCCCTACTTTTTTTTTAAGAGTATATTTAGAAACTGTTTCAGTCAGTAAAGTTGCCGTGCATAATTCCCATAGTTTTCTGGAAAAGGAAAATTGTTTACAAAAATGTCAATAGGAACTAAATACATTTTAAGCCTCTTATTTATATAGCTTTATGATTCAGAATAATTACATTTTAATAACACGTAGATGATAGTCTCGCTTTTTATTTCCATAAATAAATGTTTAATACCTGTTTACTATTCTAAGATGAATGCCATGAATAGGCGAAAATTTGGCCCGCTGGAGCACCGCAAGACGAACATCTGAATAATGACGGAAAATGTCTTGTATGTTGTATAATTTATCTAGACTGAGTTCGACCCCCGCTGGTTTAACATCCAATATAAGTGATAAGAAGTATTATGCAAAACATGCCTCGCACTTACCTACCACTCTAGACTTAAACAACATTTCATTTATAATATATAGAGAAGATAGCCGCACGTGTTTGTATAATGATCTTAAAATAATACACTGTGTTACAAATTTAAAAATATAATCGACAAATAAAGTGGTTATAAATAAAGTGGGCCTCCCAATAAATCACGCCACTACCTCATTCGTCTATTTTGCACCATATAGCTTAGATGAAGGAGAGTAAACGGTTTGGTGTGAATTTTTGGCCATTCCCAGATCATCGCTTTGGAAACCCTGAAATAAATAAACATTAGTGGATTGTTTTAATGCACATCGTGGGTTTGATGTGAATAAATGGGTAAGTAGCTTTAATACCCATAATCTGGTCTATATCGACATATTTTATAGATAAATATACATAGGATTACTTACAGTCAGTTCAGGTATACATTATACTGTATTGGAACATCTCAATTATTTCTACAGTGTTCCAACTCGTTACTTTTACCTAAACGTCGCTGTTCTGTACGTTACACTGAAGAGGACCGAAACCTTTTTGTAAGTAAAAGAATCGAAAACATTTATTACTGCGATTACAAGGGTTGTAATTTTAAGAAGCGACTGAGAGCTGTTTATAGTTTTAATTTACTGTTGTGGATATTAAGTGAATTTTACCGCAACAACACTAACCGTTTGTATAAGGAACATGTTTATTTATAACAGTGTCTTATTAAATTATGTTTTTATATGCAGCTTAACTCTGCGGCTATGCCATGAATTGTACTGAAACAATAGCCGCGTGTATCAGGAAAATGTTTATTTATATTTGAGTGTTTTTATTTAATTATACACGTACTAGGAAGGAACTGTCCACATTAATAAAACACTATAAACATCATCTATTCTACTCTCATAAAGTTGAATGTGTGGTAGTGCACGAAATATGGAATAAATTAAATTAGACATAGCTGTATATACATCTACATGGTAAGCATTAATCCATAATAAATAAATCTTTAGATATCTTTTCTGGTACCTCACATCCGATGTGATTTCATAGAGTTAGTGGGTGCCGCACGCGAGGCAGAATATGCTAGCTCTTTCTAAATCGCATCTCACTACCTCCATATGTTTTTAAGCTAATTTGGTTGTGTTACTTTTATTGAGATTTGCCATTTGGTGTTTACGTTTCTTCTTGTGGTCCCCTTCCCCTTCTGTTTGAGTCAGGTGGCATAGTTTCGATTCCCATCATATACGTGACCAGGATCGCCTATCCAATCTCGTGGGTTTTTCTCCGCCCCCCCCCCCCGCTACGTGCACGCGAATTCTTGAAATAAAATTAATCAGAAATGAAAATGATCATCAGTAAAAACACGCCTACTTCTATGGGTGTGACTAACTTAACGTTTTAAGGGTAAAAAAATATGTTAATTAAGATCATAAATAATCTGAGAGGTTTGGCTGAATGGTCTAACGCGTGCGCTTTAGATCGTAAGGTCTGTCTTTGAGTCAGGTGGTATAGTTTCGATTCCCATCATATACGTGACCAGGATCGCCTATCCAACCTCGTGGGTTTTTCTCCGCGTCCTCCCCACCCCCGCTACGCGCACGCGAATTCTTGAAATAAAATTAATCAGAAATGAAATTGATCATCAGTAAAAACACTCCTACTTTTATGGGTGTGACTAATTTACCGTTTTAATGGTAAAAAAATATGTATCATATGTTATTTGGCTAAATTAGTAATTATATTAACGTGGTCAATTATACGCAATGCTTTTGCTGTAAAGAATACACGTCAGATTTGAATTTAGTGTATGGTTTATGCTAGGTTCCCACTATCACGATTCGCACTACGATTTAAATCATGAATAAATTAAATTAGATATAGCTGTATATACATCTACATGGTAAGCATTAGTCCATAATAAATAAATCTTTAGATATCTTTTCTGGTACCTCACATCCGATGTGATTTCATAAATCGCATCTCACTACCTCCATATGTTTTTAAGCTAATTTGGTTGTGTTACTTTTATTGAGATTTGCCATTTGGTGTTTACGTTTCTTCTTGTGGTCACCTTCCCCTTCTGTTTGAGTCAGGTGGCATAGTTTCGATTCCCATCATATACGTGACCAGGATCGCCTATCCAATCTCGTGGGGTTTTCTCCGCCCCCCCCCCCCGCTACGCGCACGCGAATTCTTGAAATAAAATTAATCAGAAATGAAAATGATCATCAGTAAAAACACGCCTACTTCTATGGGTGTGACTAACTTAACGTTTTAAGGGTAAAAAAATAAGTTAATTAAGATCATAAATAATCTGAGAGGTTTGGCTGAATGGTCTAACGCGTGCGCTTTAGATCGTAAGGTCTGTCTTTGAGTCAGGTTGTATAGTTTCGATCCCCATCATATACGTGACCAGGATCGCCTATCCAATCTCGTGGGGTTTTTTCCGCACCCCCCCCCTCCACCCCCGCTACGCGCACGCGAATTCTTGAAATAAAATTAATCAGAAATGAAATTGATCATCAGTAAAAACACACCTACTTTTATGGGTGTGACTAATTTACCGTTTTAAGGGTAAAAAAATATGATTGAGAAAAAAAAATATGTATCATATGTTATTTGGCTAAATTAGTAATTATATTAATGTGGTCAATTATACGCAATGCTTTTGTTGTAAAGAATACACGTCAGATTTGAATTTAGTGTATGGTTTATGCTAGATTCCCACTACCACGATTCGCACTACGATTTAAATCATGGTTTTAATCGTGGAGTTAATCGTGGTTATCCTATCAGGTCCTATTATATATATATATATATATATATATATATATATATATATATATATATATATATATATATATTGTGGTGGTATCGAAACGTATCCAAATGTATCTGCATGTACCAGATTGTGGACTCACCAGGGAGAGAGAGCGAGAAATGAGGTTTAACGTCCACTTGACACAAACTGTGTCATTTCGGGACTAACAGTACCAGGATCTATGTGTTTATTTGAGATGTTTGACGACCATAATGACATTCCCCAGACGTTCTTGAACCAGCATTTATAAACCATGTGTTTTGATTTTCCCAGCTGTACTTGGGTTACGCTTTAAATATTTGATTTTTTTTTAAAGGAGCACGGTCACCTCACTAAAAAATAAATGTGATTATAATGAATGGAATAGGGTTTAAGGTCCTACATTTCTACACCAACTTTGGACTAATGGACACTGGCAAAAGCCATACAGTGTGCTACGAGGGAAAATTTTGCCCCTACAGAAATCGCATTCTAACTGTCAAGTGATCTTTTACATGCACGCTAACGTGTGCGCGGGGTCTGCGTTCCTTGCCAGGCCCCCAGTCTTGCACCTCTGACTAGTGAGCCAACGCCTTACCATCTGAGCCGCCGTGGCTCCTGATTAATTGATATAACATCATTTCAAAATAAACTTAAAGGAGCTAAATCGCTATTCTTTGACACCTAGATATGGACACAAATGGGTCGCAAGGCATATAATAATGTATTATGAATCTATATAAACTGATTTACATTCAATCGTTTCTGTTTTACTGTAATTTCTAATCAATTATGTTCGGCGAAATACGCCAAGGGTTCAAATTGAATGGCAGTCTATGATGACGTCTGGTTATTCCAGTCTACACCGGTAGTATTCTCCTGCCAATTTGTGTGTCAATTTTAAAATGTTCATTTTGTCTTAAAAATTGGATATCAGCAGCCTATCGTTTCACGATCAGATAATAACAATACTGTTGATTTAAATTGACAAATAAATCATGTTTGCAATGTCGAAGACTGTGGATGATATTGAGTTAGCGACTTGCCTCTGCCGTCTTCATTAACCCAGTATAGGAGCAGAACAGAAGGACGTTAAACCCCATTTCATTTTCATTTCATTTCCTTTAATTGCATTTGACTATCCAAAATCTAATCAATAAATTATTGACATAAATTTTTTTTTTTTACGAGCGTTCGTTAAGTACCGCGAAAACCACCAACTCTATGATGGCTGGGCCCATTTATCTCAATTTTGCATGTTCTCTAACTTTATCATACCCGATTGTAACTGAAGTCGAAAATTGTTTTTTATCACCATCAAACCACTAATGCCACTTTAAGATGGTTATATATTTGAACAAAATCCTGTTTATTATCTGGCAAAAGTCTATTAATGTTAACAGATGGTTCAGATATGCTTACTGAAATTCCAGTCTTGACCAATTGTCAAAACTACTTGGCTGTAAACAGTGTTGCACAAAGAAAACACACAATAATGAACAAAAAAACGCATACCAACAAGAAATTCTCTTGATGGTAATTACATTAATTAGAATATATAGTAAATAAGATGTTGTATCATTTGTTAGTGACAATACTCTACCTATAGTGTGTGTGAAATAGCTTTATTTAACGTCCGCTTCCACCGAAGTGATATAGTACAAATATCATTACTTGTAGCTGAATGGGACATATGACAGAGGCGTTGCTTACCAAAATATGGAAAAGAAAATTTCAGCAGATGGTCTAGAAAAAGAGAGAATATCGTGAACCTTAGTATTGCTTGCTTTTTTCCTTCTTTTTTTTTTGGGGGGGGGGGGGCAGCGAGTGCCGGTCATTCAACCTTGTGTACTCTATTTACCTAAATCCTTCTTTCGTCGTTGAATCATACAACGTCTTACATACTATTCAACCACTGGTGGAATGTGGCCAAGTTCAGTAATGATGGTCTGTAGCCCAGTCCGTCACTTATGGCCTGTTGTGTCATAGTCCACCACTGATGGTCTGTGTGGACCAGTCCATTGTGTCATAGTCCACCACTGACGGTCTATTGTGTCAGTCAACCACTGAAGGTCTGTTTGTCTCAGTCCAACACTGAAGGTCGGTGTGTCCCAGTCCACAACTAAAGGCCTGTGTGTCCACTGATGGTCTGTGGCCCACTCCACCACTGATGGTCTAGTGTGTCATAGCAGACCAACACTGAATGGCTGTGTATCTCAATCCACCACTGAAGGTATGTGGCCCAGTCTACCATTGATGGTCTGTGTCCTAGTCCAGCAATGATTAGCTGTGGCCTAGTCCACCATTGATGGAAGGTGTATCCCAATGATGGTCTGTGGCCCATTCCACGACTGATGGAATGTGGCCCAGTTCACCACTGATGGTATGTGTGGCCCAGTCCACCACTGATGATCTGTGGCCCAGCCCACTACTGATGGTTTGTGTGGCCCAGTCCACCACTGATGGTCTGTGGCCCATTTAGCCACTAATGGGGTGTGTGTGTGTTGTGTGTTCCAGTTCACCCCTGATGATCTGTGTGAACCAGTCCACCACTGATGGTCTATTGTGTCATATTTCACTACTGATGGTCTATTGTGTCATAGTCTACCACTGATAATCTGTGGCCCAGTCCATCACTGTTGATCTGTGGCCTAGTCCAGCACTGGTGGTCTGTGGCCAAGTCCATCACCGATAGTCTGTGTGTCCAAATCCACCATTGTCTATTGTGTCATCGCTTCCAGGCAAAATTAGAAAATAAATAATTTGACGTATAAACTGATTGCATATAATCTAGTGCACTAAGGCCAAAGATGATTTTGAAAGTTGATCAGTTAGCCTGAATATTGCGTCCATAATTCAAATCAGGATGGGTAGGGTAACTTTAAATGTTCATATTTCCACAACTGGTCCCCCTTATCATCACGGAAACGGCCATATTTGTCTTTTTTGACTGCTCTATAAGATTTTGACACTTTCATGACTCTAAATGGTCTCTAAATAGCAGGCGGTGAGATAATCGCTTAACTTCATCTACAGACCCTTTTGCGAGCGTGCTTCGCCAGCGTCATACGGACTTAATCCGGCTAAATGTTATAGAGAATATCTGAAACTTACACTCGTGGATTAGAAGAGTTAATGTTTCAAACGAAACTAGTAGTAATCTACTCACCTAGGTAA